TTAATGAATTACTAAACAATAAAAGCAGAACTAAAGCATTATCATCTTATAGCATTGAGTAAAGAATGATTTTGGTATGTAGATTAATTTAGATAAGTTTTTATCTCATAAGACAATAAGTTAAAAGTTTTTAAACTAATTTTATCACATTCAAATAATAGATGAAAACTTAAAGCAACTTTCGAATCACATCAAATTTAAATAATTAAATTTCCAACAACAAACTTTTAATCACCCATTCCCACACAAAGTCGCATAAGATGCATAAAAGTATTCACTCAGCCAAAAATACAAGGTTTAACTCTAACAATTTAAACTCTAATAACTCCTCAGGTCTCTTATTACGTAGATAAGATTCTATTCACTCTGAGAGAAAAAGAGATATTAAGCAGACAAGAAAAGCTTCGTTGTTTACAAAGCTACAAAAGAAGCAGGAAGGTTTACTTTCTGAGGACGACAACATAGACAGCTTGAATTTCCATACTCCTGCAGAAGCTATCTTAGACGCATCTGAATAGAACTCCATATTCTCCGAGGATAAACTACTGTTTGACGATGATTACATGCTAGATACTAACTAAGATCTTCCCATTAGAAAGCCATAGTCTGCTTATGTAATTTTTGGAAAAATGGTAAGTTTTTACTGTTTTGTTCTAAAACATGAATTATAGAAAAGAGACCTGATTATGAAGCAGAACCCAGGAATAAAAGTGACAGAAGTTGTAAAGTAAATCGCAAAACTGTGGTAAAGCCTAACAAAAGAGGAAAAACTCAAATACAAGGAGGCTGCGAAATAGGGTAAAATTTCAAATTTTTAGTTTGATTTTTAGACAAGGAAAGGTATATTTAGGAATTAAGGGAGCTTACAAAAAGCAATAAGAATCTTGATAAGCCCAAAAAGCCTCTGACACCGTACATGCTTTTCGTAAGAGAGGTAAAGCCTATTTCATTGATTCTGAGTTCAAAATCTTAACATTATTTTATAGACAAGACCAAAGGTTGTTCGTGATAATCCAAATATACCATCACTTGATATTATGAAAGAAGTAGGAAGAATTTGGTAAAATATAACTAAGGAAGAACTATCTTACTTCAAGTAAAAATCTGATGTCGATCTTGAACGATACAAGAGAGAGCATTAGAGATTTATTGAAGAGATCAATGAGTTGAGAGCTTAATCAACCAAGGAAAGGCTAGAGAAAAAGACATTTCTTGACAATGGAATGTCATCAGAAAGGGTGCCAACATTTGGTTATAAAAGCTAATACGAGAGTCATTTATCAGCTATTGCAAGCTAACCAATAAATCTAAAAAGAAGAAAGCTCGAGCCAGGTGAAATGATTGAGAATAGTTCGTCTAAAATGATATAAGGAACTCCTTTAAAGACCGGAAAAATTTACTCACATTTAACTGAAGATACTCCATCTACAAATCATGAGGAACCTGTCAGTCCTTACATGAGAGCGAAAAGAGAAGTAGCAAGACCTAAGAAGCCCCTGTCTGCTTACATATACTTCAGCTAAGAGTATAGAGAAAAATTGAAAGACCAGCATCCCGAGTGGTCTTCCAATGAAATCATGAGGCATGTTAGCGCCAAATGGTCTCACATGGATAAAAAACAAAAAGAACCATATAACTAAATGGCAGCTTAAGATAAAGCCCGATATGATAAACAGCTATTAGAGTTTACGCATATCACTGACAACAAAGAGCATGTGTTTGAGTTTAGGAAGCCCCGAAGATCCTTTGATACTTCTGAAAACACAAGCCATCAAAGATAGGAAATTCAAATTTCAGATAGCAAAAAGAGCTCATAAAATTTAAAAGAATCTGCAACCAAAGATTCTTGTAGAAATCAAACATCATAACACGAGGATATGTATTTTAAGTAATATGATAGTGAGATTAAACTACCAATGCCATCAAAGTAATATCAAAATGTTGACCCTGAGTAGAACATTCCATTTACTCCATTCAACTATAACTACCTCTAATAGTAATAACCTAATTACAACAACCAGAACATAAATAATGCTGCCAATAATGTGCAATAATCAGATAATCATCTAGCAACCCCACACCATAGTTTCTTGCTTCACTCTCCTCTCATGAGACCTCTCTATCAGGATTTTAACCTAGCAAGCAGCTTCCATAAATTAAATTATGAGGAAGATGCCCTGGGAGAAGATATAGACAACGTCAATTATGAGAATTAATTTAGTTTACCTAATATTTTAGCGTTTGATGAGCAAAGCTTTTTCCAAAAGTTAGACTCATTCAACTCAAAGTTTGTTACATAGTAAGGATAAAATGAGACGCAGAATCTAAACCATGAGATGTTTGATAGCTACGGCATGAACAATTAAAGAAGGTTCAATTGAGTAATTGCTTCAAATTTTGACTCGCTCCTTTATTAAATGGCACATATATAACTTTAAAGCGTTTATTGTTCTTAAAATTCAACTTTTTACTAGTATTTTTTAAATCTTACAAATATCAATTTTCCATATATTTAAAATTCAAAGATTCTGATCTGTGGGGTTTTGGGGTTTTGGGGTTTTGGGGAGATCGGAAG